TCTCTCAAATTGGTTGAGTTCATCTTGCATTGCATTCACCCATTCTGCATCCTGCAAAGTCTCAGCAACATTTTTAGGTTCAATAAGAGATAGAAAAGCATCAAAAGCACAAAGATTCTTCAAAGAAGATCGGGTTTTGATTCTAGAGGTTGGATCAGTAATTATGTTCTCAATGGGATGAGAACTTTGGTACTTATAAGGTTTCACAACCAGCTGGTTTCCCTTAGATATTCCTTTAGTATTTTGTTGCTGAGGAATAGGTTCATGGACAGGTTCCCTCAGGGTTTGAGGATCAGTTCTTCTTTGTTCAGTTCCCCCTGTCAGGTTGCCCTGGGTAGAAGGACTTGTTCCTTCCTTTGGTACAACTTCAGTCTGGGCTGTGGTTTTATTTGAGTTTCTAACCAGACCAATTGCTTCAACTTCATGTTCCTGTCTCTCAGAAAGAATGTTAGTTTCATCAAAAACTACATGTACACGTTCTTCTATACACATAGTTTTTTGTTATAAATCTTGTAAGCTTTACTATGTGAAGAATATCTCAAGAATACTCCAACATCACTTCTGGGATCAAACTTACCTAGAGAGTCTTTACCATTATTGTACATAAAGCAGTTGCATCCAAATGCCCTAAGATGAGATATGTTTGGCTTTCTCCCTTTAAGTAACTCATAGGGAGTCTTCTCTACAAGAGGTCTTGTCATGCACCTATTTATGATGTAACATGCAGTGTTCACAGCTTCTGCCCAGAAATTATGAGGCAGTTTACTAGAAAGAAGCATAGTTCTAGCCATATCTTCAAGTTTTCTATTTTTTTCTTTCAACTACTCCATTTTGTTGTGAAGTCTTAGGAGCAGAAAAGTTATGATCTATGCCATGTTCATCACAAAATTCAAAAAATTTAGCATTCTCAAATTCAGTGTCATGATCAGACGTAATTGATGCAAGTTGATTACCTAGTTGTTTCTGAGTTTTTCTAACAAACGAAGTGAACATGTCAAATGCTTCATCTTTAGATTTTAAAAACAATGTCCAAGTAAACCTAGAGTCATCATCAACAAGCACCATCACATATCTCTTACCACTTCTGCTTAATATTCTCATTGGTCCACAAAGATCCATATGGACCAGTTCCATCGTCCTGGTAGTGCTTACCATTTTCTTGCTTTTAAAAGAGGATCTTACCTGCTTTCCCCTTGCACAAGCCTCACAAATCTTATATTCCTTGAACTTAATGTTAGGCAGTCCTATCACCAAGTCCTTGGAGACAAGTTTGTTGAGTTGACTTAGACTGGCATGTCCAAGTCTCTTGTGCCAAAGAAGGGGATCATTATTCAACACACTTAAGCAAGTGAGTTCATTTTATGAAAGTGTGGACAGATCTACAACATATATGTTGTTCACTCTTTTTCCCTGCAAAACTATCTTGTCAGTGGTAAGATTAATCACAAAGCATTTAGTAGATGTGAATGCTACCATGTTACCTCTATCACACAATTGTGATACACTTATTAGACTGTACTTTAGTCCATTTATCAAGTAGGCATTCTCAATAGAATGAGAATCATTCTTACCTACCTTTCCAACCCCAATGATCTCACCTTTCTTACATCTTTTAAGGTCCTCAAGTGAAAGGAATTGGTTCTTATTTCCTGTCATGTGCTTTGAGCAGCCACTATCCATGTACCATATTTGACTGCTCTCCTTCACTTGGACCTGCAAAAAGAAATCAGGGGTTAGTCTTAGGAACCCAAACTAGTTTGCGTCCCTTTCTATAGGCAAAAGGATAAATTAAATTCTTTTTAGCCCAACTTGGTAGCCTATTTTTTCCTTGAACAAATTATTTATTCTTTTGACTTGCCTTTTCTTTTGCAGTGCATTCACTTTTATAGTGACCTTTTTTACCATAGTGTGTGCAAATTTTGTTCTCAGGAAGTGTGAGGTACTTGCTTTTAGGATCCCATTTAGGTGCCAGGTTCCCAAAGCCAAGTCCTCTTCTATTGCTACTATGATGTTCCTGTAGCCATGAAAGTGCATCGGAGGACCTGTTTTATTTACAAGCTCTGTCTAGCTCATGCTTGACCTTGCTTAAATCCTCCTTTAGGATTCTTACCTGCTCATCCCTTTTATACAACTCATCTTTCTCATTTTTCCTATATTTTCTTCTAGAGTGAGTTGTGTGTTATCAGCTGTCTTTTTACCTGTTCCTAATTTCAGTTTTAGATTTTCAGATCTAAGCTCTAGGACAGTTGAGTCGAGTGCACGAACCTGGTTCTTCAAAATAGTATTTTCACTTACAGTTTCACTAACCCTAAGTTCCAGGTTTTTGCACTTAGCCTTCAAACTCACACATTCTTTAGACAACTGTTCCTTTCATTATTTACATACTCAGATTCATCAATTAGTTTTAGAAGTAACTCAGATAACCTTTCTTTAGACAATAATTTAATCTTGTCTTTGAGATGAATTACACTTACCTCAGTTTCCTCATCAGATTCTCCAATGGCCATAAGTGTTTGTTCATCCCCATCATCATCATCTGAGCTTTCTCCCCAAGCAGTGACCATAGTCTTGGTTGATCCTTTGCTTTTCTTGGGTTGAACCTGTTCCTTCTTCTTGTTCCTTCGTTCAGCTCTTTCCTTATTCCATTCAATTTCCTATTGGGGACAGTTTTTAATGTGGTGATCAGTCTTTCCACACTTGTAGCATCCATCATTGGTTTGCTTCTCAGGAACTTTTGATTTACTATAGCTTCCACTTCTTGAAGGACCATTTCCTCTCCTCAAGTACTTCTTGAAATCCTTGGTGATCATAGCCATTTCATCATCTTCTAGATCAGAACCTTCAGTGATTCTGAGTGCAAGGCTCCTTTCCTTCTTAGGTACATCCATTTTCATGGTTTGTCTCTTAAGTTCATAAGTAGTGAGATTTCCAATTAATTTATCCAGTGGGAGGGTGGCAATGTTCTTTGATTCCTGAATGGCAGTAATTTTGCTCTCCCAAGTAACAGGAAGAACCCTTGTCAATATTTTATCGACTCTATCTTCTTCAGAAATAATTCTTCCAAGAGACTTTAGTTCATTGTCAATGTAGTGAACCTTGTGTACATCTCTTGAATGGTTTCTCCTTCCTTCATATTAAAGTTCTCATATTGAGAATACAGTAGAGTTCCTCTGGACCTTTTCACCTGAGGTGTTCCTTCGTGATCCACTTGCAGAGTGTCCCAGATTTCCTTGGCAGTGGTACAGCTTTGGATTCTGCTATACTCATCTGGACCAAGTCCACAAACAAGCCATTCATTGGCTTTAGCATTCTTCTCCCATTTCTTCAAGTCCTCAACAGTGCAATCAGCTCTTGTCTTTGGCACATCTTCTCTTTTAGCATTTTTCTTCAAAGTAGCCAGTGGATCATCAGTGACAATATTCCATAGCTCATAGTCCTCTCCTATGATGTGATCTCTTATCCTACTTTTTCACTAAGAGTAATATCGGTCGTTGAAGAGTGGTGGCCTAGCAGTGGATTGCCCTTCCCAGTTTCCAGGTGGTGCACTCATCTTGATCTTCTCCTAAGGTGTTAGCCTCTTCAAGGATAACCCGCTATAATACCAATTGATATTTTATATATCAATGCCACACAAGAGGGGGGTGATTTGTGTGGTGTACAATTTTTGCGTGCATTGATTATAGAAGAACCTGGTTCTTCTAAGTGTTCCTTAACCTACTGTTGCTGAAATAGTAAATGCGAAAAGTAAAGAATACAAGTATATTTATATGGAAAATACCCGGCTCAAAAAGTAAAAAAACCACGACCTACTACTCTGTAGGATTTTTCCCAACATTTCACTAAATTACTGAGCCAAAACAGCATTTACAAAAACTCTTTGTAAACCTAAGGATTACCTCTAATCCAGTTGTGGCAACCAGTCTCTAACTGTTGCGACAACTTCAAGTTAACTCTAACTTGAATACTCAGAGTACCTATTACAATTGCTTCTAGATAAAGCTGAAAGGTACAATTTGAAAATCACATACTACAATTGAACTAGAATAAAAGACAGACGCTTGGAACCGGTTCTTCTATCTGGTTCATGTAGCTTCAGGTTCGCACACTTGAATCACACAAGAATTGCTTACAAAATGCCTTGCTATTTTGCTCTCAACTCACGTTTAACTTTTGCTTTTGTGCGTGCCTGTAGAATGAGAACATCATACAAGATATAGAGTTAGTAGAATAAGAAACAGCTAGAGTTCTAATGCTACTCTTCCTTGGTGGAAGAGTTCTAGTTATCCTCAACTTCTAAACCCTCCCTTATCTTGGATAGTGTTCTATTTGAGTAAGGAGTCCTTCTCCTTATCAATTATGCAACCTTTTCGATCAGGAGATATAGCATATAATATAGAAGGTATTACATAAATGAGAGGATTTATAATGTGAAGGGCATAATAGACTTTTCAGGCGAAAGGTTTGTAAAATCTGGTCAAAGTGATTATTGTGATAACTAGAGCATAGAAAATTATTTTTGTGTAACAAAAGAAAGAAAAGTGACTTTTGGAAAATGAACACAAAGTTGAATGATTTTTACGTAATAAAAGAAAGAAAAATAATTTTTGGGTAATGAACACAAAGTTTAATGACCGCGATGCAATTTACTCAGAAAGAAGACATTTTAAATGTTGAGCTACTTTTTCCTTCCTCTTTTGAATTAAATAGATTTCGGAAACTAGCTGGTTTCATTTGTAGCATGGCCTGGACAAAGGTCTGAATTCTGATACATAATATATGCAGAAAGTGCCATACCTTTTATGCAGAACGCAACCCACTTATTAATGTTCTAGCAATTAGTCGGACCAGTGGTTACTTGGAAAGGCAGAATCATTGACCCGTTTGTAAATTAATTTACCAACCGTTTCTTCTTTCTCGATTCCCATGATCTACAGTGACAACTTGTTAACCATTTGATAGTAATTTGGCAGCAAGAAGTTGAGCAGATGCATGCCATATTTAACAGGATTTGACAAATTACAAGGAAAAGGATATGTTTGAACAAGTTTAATTGTACACAGAATAAGGCATTAGAAATTAACGTTGGAGAAAGTTAGTACTCTCCCCTCATCAGATCAAACAAATGTCCTAGAAAATTAACACATAAATAAACCTACTTTAAAACTAACTACTACCCAATAGCCAAGGAACTAGCAATTTATGCACTTATATTAACACATGTTGAAAGGGAATTAAACCTCGAGAGAGTTTTGGGCAGAACATAATTAAAGTCTATCACATGCTGGGCACAAAGTAAACCGCACTTCTCTGTATGGCTTCTGAGCATTAGAAACTTGGATTTGTTGTACTTATTCCTTTTGTCCTTCCAAAACAAACTCAACATACAAATCTTTAATTGCAATCAAAACTGTAGTTATTAGCGGCCCCATTATGGCTCCCTGGATAACATACGTACGCACCAAAATTAGTATCAAACATAACATCACTTTTAGAAGCAAAAGCATAAACTGTAAGTTGTGAAAGACTGTGCTACAGAAAAGATTATTATTCAAGGTGAAACCGCACTTTCTAGTGTTATCCTTTCTGGCTTAGAAAAATAGCAGAAACTATGCACATATGACTGGTATCTGCTCTATGCATTCAATTTATGTAATTCTTCTTCACACGCCCCATCATAAAATATAGTATAAATTGTGTAAATGTTCAATCAAGCCGCTCCAATTTCAAAAGTTAAGACTAATTCATCTCAGGTAACATAAGGACATTCGTTGCTAAAGCCTCATGATCCTAGTTATCCATATTGAAACAAGTTTTTACCATAATAACAAAAGGCATGCATGGTTTACCCAAAGTTTAAAGTAGTTTGTCAATTACCTCAACTACTGAAGGGAACAATGTCATTCCACCAATAATACTGAGACCAGTGAGATATGCACTATAGCCAGGGAAATCCTCTTGGATTTCAGATGTACCAAAATCCATAAGCACAAGATGAATAATAGATAAGCTAATGGCCAGCATATATCGACCTTCAAGCACCAACTGCAAAGCTGCTGGAATAGTCGAAACCAATGAGGGGAAAATAGGAAACAAAGGACTAACGAATGCAAGGATAGTTGACATATACAAAAAATGTATGGAAGATAATCTGAACAACAGCCAAGTCAGGCATCCTTGAAAGAACGCAATCTCAGCAGTTGCTAAAAGAACCCCCGAAATAGCTTTATCAAGAACCTCAACAAAACGAGTTCTTGCAAAACGCGAAATGGGAAGCATACATATCACTTGTTCTGTTACTCCACCGGACTCGGTTGTGATAAGATAATAAAGTACCCAGAAAAACAAAATCGACTGAGATACAAAGTTAACAAGCCCTGCAGCTCCTGAAACTATGGAATTCCCAATCAAGAACATGACCTTCACACTGCCACCTAAAACAGATTTGCTGCTAACAAGTACACGTCGAGCAAATCCTTTCGCCTTCTCAACCAAGTCTACTCTGGTGATCAGTAGTTCCCTGAAAATTGCATCCACTTCTGTGTATATTTGCCCCCATTCAAGATCCTTAATCCTCCTTTTTAGGCTCAACATCTTCTTAGTATATGGGGAGCGCGATGCCAAAGCTGTGGACCGCTCAAAAGAGTTATTCGCTGGGGTTATTACAAACTGTTTGATACCAGAAACAAACTCAGTCATATTATACTGCATAGCATAGCTATCTATTTGGTCAAATACTGTTTGGCACAACTGAGTACTGTACTTATCCACCATCTCTGGGACGTCGTGTTCGTCCATCCATTTCCTGATGCCAATTTTCTCAGCATAGTTACTCTCTTCTACATGTGATTTCAATGCAAAAACTGCATCTTTCCCCTCCACTCCAATTTTGTAAGAGAAGAAAATCATACCAGCCAATGATCCTACAATCAACCCTACAATCAATCCAATAGCTACAATGGTCTTCAATCTTTTCAATATCCCTCTAGTAAAGAAAGCAGTAATAGGGAGTCTCCGAAAGCTATGACTCCTAAGAGATGTCACTGCATTAATAGTAGAGTCCACACTGTTAGCTGTGAACATAAATCCCAATGCAAGAAGAGCTACTGCTCCAATACCACCAATTTGCTCATAGGTTATAACAAACACCCAAAACGACACTAGCCACCTCAACAATATAAAAAATCCACTTCTATGACGCCTTAAATCGTTCTGTTTCTGTCTCCTATGAACGACACTGAATGTCATATCCTTAATTACAACAATGGTTCCAACAAAGACCCTGAATACAGCCACGGGGACGGCTAATACGGTCTCTGTGAGGCCTAGTTTTAGAGGTTCAGACCAGAATGCAACAAGGGCTTGTTGAATTCCCCTCAAAGGAATTGAACAGAGGACAGCCCATAAGAGAGGCCTCAAATAATCTTGAAGCAATTTACCAACAGCATAAAGAATGAAAATTGTGAGGGCCATGCTAGCATGTGCCATGGCAATGTAGAGAGCCTGGCGTACCTCGGGATTAGCTGACAAGGTATTATGATCTGTGTGGTGTTGCATTGAACGGTTTTTTGGGAGAGGTTGTTGGTGATCAGGTGGTGGCCTCGGCTTCCTCATTGAGGCTAATCCAGAAGCCAAACAAGATAATTGAGATGCGCACAAACTGACTCTGAACACTTTAATTAAAGAAAAGAAAAGGAGGATGAGAAGGGAGTTTAGAAATGCCTTTCTTTCTTTGTTTCTTTCAAATGCCTTTCCTGAATATTAGAAAAATCATGATTCAAATTCAGGGTAGTCCATCTAGGTATTAAAATTCTCAAGAAGCTTTTGAAGAGAAGTTGGCAAGAGGAGGTGTCTCAGGAATAAACTGACACAAATTGCAGAGTCAGGGCTCAGGACTTGTGCTTCCACAAATCTTGGAACTGACGTTCTTGAATGACCATAAACGATATCCATAGTATCCAATTTGAAATCAGGTCTCAATTCTTTTACTTCTGACTTCTGAGCACAATATGATGATCCTTATGATGCAATGACAAGTTTACCGTTGGTTCTCCTCATCTTATGCCTAGTTCTATGACTGACCAGAAGTTTTTTAATTCTAAAAATGCATCATAGCGTTTTACTTATGCTACTTTAAATTTTGACTCTTCTTTTTTGACAATTTACATTGTATCTCTTGATTCTCAGGTATTGCTGATTGAAAAGAAAAGGTAAGACTCAAAAGTGAAACCTAACGGTGTTAACTTTAAGTTAGTTATTTAATTAAAGTTTAAATATGCTTAGCCCGATAAGACAGAAATTAGAATCTATATAATTATATATAGTAGGGACATGAAAGTCTGATGTGGCACTTCTAAAATGTTAGGATTTATATTTATCTATTTTCTTAGAGTTTTGCCTTTTTAAATGAAAGAAAAGTGCAAAAGTTAAAAAAAAAAAACATACCCGTCTTTTCATATTCTTTCTGTTTTTAAAACTTATAAACCCTTTCCGAAACGTCTCTTTACTTCCCCTTCCCAGGTAAACTCCTCATTCTTTACACTCCACTTAATAACGCCTTCCTCTCCTCTTCTTCCTTCCGTTCGCCAGTCGTCTTTGCTCTTCAATATTTTTTTTACCTTAAATATTTTGTTCTGTTATTCTTTCCCACAACTTTCAACTACCCTTCATAGCCTTTTTCTTAATCTATAGTTACCACATCTCCAAAACTAACAAGATTTCTCTGAAGAATCACATGTAAACAGTTTTCGTTAGTTAATGATTGACGAATATTTGCTTCACTTTTTTCGCATTGTAGAATTTGATGTTATGTTGACAAAAGTTACCATTTTTCTCTGGCAGTATGTATTTGTGTATTTTGAGATTTGTGTGGAAGGACTAAAAGATTATCATGTGAAAATGCATCCCTGTATTGTTCCTCAGATATCAAGTTTCACTCTTTTCACTATTTTTATTCTATTTGCGATTAAATCACCTTTTATTTTTGTGTATTTTTCAGTTCCACCTGTCTTTTTGAATTACATATCAAGACAAAAGTTAAAAAGTGTCAACGTGAGTCTATTAGTCACCAAAATTTTGCTCCTGGAAAAGCCAAAACATGCAAGGTACCTTCTCTTTCTCATAAAACGAGAATTTAGGCGGCTTAAGTAAATCATACTATTAATTTTTTATTTGCACCTTTTTTGTTTTTTTTTTTGGCTTGGATTTCTTCTTTGTTCTTTTTTTTATGCTAGGATTTTTTTCTCTTTGTTTCATTGTGTTTTGGGCGTTGGTGTGATGTTTTCAAAGCACAGAGATGCCAAAAAGGAAGTAATTGTTTCGTTTAGACAAAATTAATTGGTTGAAAATTAATTTAGTCTGACTAGGGGCTGAGATTTAATGCCAACGTTAAAATGGTAGATTGTGTTCAGACACCCTTTACCCCGGATAAATTCATTTCATTAGAGTGAACTCATATGTTAAATGAGAAATTTGTATACTGGTTCATCTAAATAATTTGACACAAATAATTTTGAGTTGAATAGATACTATTAAATTTGAATTTACCCAGATAGACATGAAGTTGAGATTCGTTCAACTATATTTTCAAATTTTCTTCTAGGATAGTTTCAAAAAAAATTTCTGTAATAAGTAAAGAGTTTACTCGGTGTTGCGTCAATTCCTATTATTACTTCATGTGATAGCGTCCTTGTGTCTTCCTTCCAATGTTTGCGCATTTAAAGAGCTAAATAATTCTGACATAATCTGATCATGGATAACTAAGATTTGTCAATTAGTTAGTAAATTAAATCTATGACCATTTTTCACTATATATTTCCTTATAAATCTTTATTTAGGTTTGAAATACTCTTGAAAGTACAAGAAGAGAATATATATCACCTTTCCCCCTCTTCTTCATCTTCTGTTGTTGAGTATTCTTCTTTTCTCCCATTCGCCAAAGAGGATTTATCTTTGTTCCTGTTGTTACTCTCAATTCTCAATGTGAATCTCTTCTTTATAATTTTAGAATATAGTTGTTTGCCTTCATGTTTAGAAACCATATGAAGTTTAATTTTGGAAACCATATGAAGTTGAAGGTGGGACTTCTGCAACTTCACTATCAATTGAGCTAATTTACTGAGATATCTAAAAACTACAAAAAAAGACTAACTACTTGATTGTATGATTTTGTAGGAATTGATGAGATCTCAATATGTATGAATGATAAAAAATTAATCATTATCCAGGCAATTGATCCAGTGAGTATAGTTCATTATCCAGGCAATTGATCCAGTGAGTGTAATGAGCAAACTAACAAATTTTTGACCAGCACACATAATCTTATGAGTTGTGGACCACCCAAATTAAGAGCCAGAGAAAGAGGAACTAAAGAAAGAAGATAGCAAGAAAGAAAGAAGAGGACAAGGAGGAGCACAAGAAAGAAAAAGCACAAAAGAGGGAGGAACTAAAAGGAGCCTTAAAATAAAGAGGAAGCTAAGAAAGAGAAATCCAAAAAAAAGAAAGGCAGAATTACAACCAATTATGCCACTTTCAGTTTTATTCTCACAAATCAATCTAATCTAACTTTTGTAGGAACAGTACCAACCCATTTTTTATCATCTGAAACAGCTTTTGCTCATGCTAAAGCAGAGGTATAGAATAGTGAAGCCATATTAGCCGAGGTGAATAAGCACCAGCAACAACAACACATGCACCAATAGCCTGATATGACAGTAAATTATGAACAAATTAGTTTAGCTAGAGAACTCTCTCCATACGTAAAAAAAAATAAAAAAAAATCGTACAATCTCCCTTCTCTTCCATTTTTCTATTTCATTTTATTGCAAGAAGATAATAACTAGATTTATTATTCTTCATAATTTTTCTCTCTTTGTTCTTTCTCTACCATTTGTAAATTTGTGCATAATTTCTCAAATAAGTGTTTCCTTCTAAAGCCTCAAAGCCTTTTCATTTCTGTAGAACGATATATGTTTTATAACTTCTAATTTTTATATTGATTTACAATACTTATGTTTCTTAAATATACTATTATAATTCAGAGTATTTTATTTTATTTACAACCGTGCGAAACAAGGATAAATTTACTAGTTAGACAATAACTCAAGGACTAAAATCATGTTTCCCCTTTGAAAATAAAACAAATAATAGTAGGATAAATGACTAATAAAAGGTACAATAAAAAATATAGAAGAAACAAATGAGCCTGGCATATGTTTGGTAGGTTCAAATTTTTCTATGTTTGGTTGGCTTAAATGTTTGAAAAAATAATTTTATTATAAACTCTTCTTCTGATTTCATGAAAATGACTTCCCTGCCAAGATAAGATAAAGGAAAAATATTCTCTAAAACTCTCCACCCCACCACCAATCAACCCCAGCTCCACTGCNATAAGTAGGAAGACTACTTTTTTCAAGAAAATATTTTCTTTGAAAAATATTTTTCTTCATATCAAACACACCTTTAAACGTGTTCTCACATTTCTCGTCTACAAATGCTGAAATTTGTTCTGCTTATACAGTTTCACTTAGCACTTTAGTTTAAAAAAATAAGTTTAAAATAATCAATATAGAGCTAATTATCTTGAAATGTGCAGAGACCGTTATAAAGAGTTGATTCAATTTGGAGCAAATAAAAAAGGAAAGAAGCATGGAAACAATTAATCTAATTTCTTGTTATTTTTTATCAACAATTATACGTTAACCAAATCCCTAAAAATAGCATAACATTTGAGACTAAGCAGTACTGGTTATTGTATTGACCAGCTACATCAAATAGTTGAAAAGATCTAGTTGCACTTTCTTTTTAGTCTATCGCAAAAAGAGTGATAACTTTTTATATTTAAAAAAAAATTTAATTTTAAATTTTTTATTTATAGCCACATAAATATTGATATTTTATTTTAGACCATAAATTTCAAAGTCAAAACTTAGTGCCAATCAAAATGCATCACATAAAATGAGATGGATAGAATAATATATAATTAAATAATATTATACATGTTATAAATAGAATTGTATTTAAGGTGAATGTCTATATTTTAGAGAGATTTTAGGGTTTGTTACTTGGTGGCTAAGTCAATTTTTCGCTATAAATAGAGGGGTTCTATTCCATTGTAAATCATCCCAAATCAATAAGAATTCTCTCTCTACTTTTCTCTACAATACTCTTCTTCTTCTCTTGTTGTTTTATAGCACGTTATCAGTACGAGACTCTAACCAATTGAGTAGAGGCATCTGCTTTGGTCACCAGGCTTTGAAATACGTGCATGGTGCTCAACTAGAGCATAATGATTATCAATTGTTGTGATGACCTGATAGGTCATCTAGAGTTTTAAATGTTAATTCTGTATTTCGAAACCTCAAATATCTCATTTTAGCCTTCCTCAATTTATTGCGCAGTCCGTATCTTTTTTCGGGAGGCTTTTATGTTAAAAATTGATAATATGTGAAATTGTACCTTAAAGATCCATTTGAGTTGACTTCGGTCAATGTTTTGAGTAAACGGACCCGGATCCATACTTTGAGGATCCTGGTGGGTCTGCATCGTAATTTTGGACTTGGGCGTATGCCGAAAATCGAATTCGAAGGTCCCTAACTCGAGTCATCGCATTTTGTCGAAAATTTAAAGTTTAAAGGTTTAATGAATTTAAAGATTTGATCAAGGTTTGACTTTATTACTACCGGGCCCGGATTTTGATTTTGGAGCTTCGTATATGTTCATTACTATATTTATGACTCGTCTGCAAAATTTGGTGAAAAACGGAGTTGATTTGACGTGATTCTGACGTCCGGTTGTTAAAATAGAAATTCTAAAGTTTCATTAAAAATTTCATTTGAGTTGGTGTCTGATTCATAATTCTAGGTGTTATTTTGGCAATTTGATCTCGCGAGCGAGTTCGTATGAGGTTTTAGGACTTGTGTGCATATTTGGTTTGGAGCCCCGAAGACTCGGGTGGGTTTCGGACAGGCTACG